TTCTCCACCTGCTGAGTGCTATGCTTGGGGGGCTGGAGGGTGCATGCCAATATTGTCTGGAGCCAGGTCTGTGGTCCTTCATCTCTCTGATAACTCAAACTGCAGAAAACTCCCTGGGAAGGAAGTCAAAGGCCATCCCCGGAACACAGACCTGGTCCCGACACTGACCAGCCGTGGGTCACTTGCCTCCTCTCAGCCTATTTCTTCATTTGTGAAATGAGTGTTGCTGTCTTTGCCTTGATGTCAGAGAAGTTATGTGAGCTCTGTGTCCGAGGCCATTCTAGATCACGTTAGAAACTGGATAGCTCACTATTTCATCAGCTCTGACAGCTTTGTTCTTCCTCCTAGGTGACCAACGTTGTGATCCACTCATCAGATCCTGAGTCCACCCTGGCCCTCAGTTCACCTCAGTCATGGGGCAATGGCTAAAAAGATCCCTATGAGGGATGTGTTCTTACAAATGTCACCATCAAGTGTTGCGTGTTAGTCCTAAAATAGGAAGAGACACAGAGAGATCATCGCATCTACCTTTTTTCCTCTAGACAAAGGTCCCAAGAAGATGTTTCTGGACCATCCAAGAAAGACTCTGCAGCCTACACTGACAGAGCTTTCTTTCCTCTGTTCATCTTCACCTATTTCTTTAGATGCTAAATGTGGGCTCCTACCACCAAGGCAAGCCGAGCAACTTGGCCATCATCCTCTCACTGGTGCCAAAAGCACATGACCCAGCCCACACATCTGAAGAGACAGGCAGGGAAGGGGAGTCCCTTCCCCACTGATCCTCACTAAGAATGGGTGTTGGGGAGACACCCACCCTCATTGGCAGCATCAGGGTACTCTTCTCCATCATTCTGGGAACCTATAGCTTTGTAAAATTTATTTATTTATTTGAAAGGCACAGTTAGAGAGAGAGAGAGAGAGAGAGAGAACCACAGACACAGAGATCTTCCCTTTACTAGTTCGCTCCCCAAGTGGCCACAATGACCAGGACTGGACAATCCAAAGCCAGGAGCTGGGGGCTTCCTCCGGGTCTCCCACACAGGTGCAAGAGCCCAAGCATTTGGGCCATCTTCTACTGCTTTCCCAGGCCATAGCAGAGAGCTGGATGGGAAGTGGAGCAACCAGTACTCAAAGCAGCACCCATACAGGATGCCGGCACCACAGTCATGGCTTTACCCACCATGCCATAAGGGTTGACCCCTTAGAATTATTCTTGATGCTGTTGTAGATCAGAGACCCCAGACTGAGGGGCTGGTGCTGCGGCGCAGCGGGTTAACGCCCTGGCCTGAAGCGCCAGCATCCCATGTGGGCACCGGTTTGAGATCTGGCTGCTCCACTTCCAACCCAGTTCTCTGCTGTGGCCTGGGAAAAAAGGAAAGCTCAGGTCCTTGGCCCCTGCACCCGCGTGGGAGACCTGGAAGAAGCTCCTGGCTCCTGGCTTTGGATTGGTGCAGCTCCAGCCATTGCGGCCATCTGGGGAGTGAACCAGTGGATGGAAGACCTCTCTCTCTGTCTCTTCCTCTCTCTGTCTGTAACTCTGACTTTCAAATAAATAAATACATCTTAAAAAAAAAAAATAAAAGAGACCCCAGACTGGGCTGGGTCACCTGGGAAGCACTTTTAAAATGCAGATTCCTACAAGACCTGCTGAATCTCAATCTCCAAGGGGTGAAGTTTTTAAAAAAGATTTATTTTTTTTTTTCATTTATTTGAAGGCAGAGTTACAGAGAGAGAGAGAGAGAGAGAGAGAGAGAGATCTTCCATCTGCTGGTTCACTCCCCAGATGGTTGCAACAGCCAGAACTGGGCCAGGCTGAAGCAAGGAGCAAGGTCCTTCTTCTGGGTCTCACACATGGGTGCAGGGGCCCAAGCATTTGAGTCTTCTTCTGCTGCTTTCTCAGGAGCATTAGCAGGGAGTTGGATCAGAAGTAGAGCAGCCGGGACTTGAACTGGTTCTCACATGGGACGCCAACGCTGTAGGCTGTGGGTTTGACATGCTGTGCCATAGCACTCACTGGCCCCAGGAGTGAGTCTTAAGCATTTGAATTGCTGAAATGTTTTCTGGGTCATTCTGCTCAGTCTGGGAACCTCAGTTCTTAAGTGTTCTGGAAAAATAATAGAAATAGAGCCAACCTGTAGAACATTTTGGTAACCTTTCCACAGCTTTGTATGACTTTCCTTAGGGATCCTCTAGGGATCTTCATAAAAGATTGAATGATATAGAAAGTGCAGGGAGCTCACAAGATCATTCATACTTGGACTGATTTTGTAAGCATCTGGTGTGGTTTTCCACAGGGTACTTACTTCTCTGCACATACCTAATGATGAACTTCTGCCCTAACTGGCAGTTCTTTTACTTAGGGAACCCAGTACCTTATAAGGCAGTCCATCTTCTTAGATTATTTTCTTTGTTAGAAATTTTTGCCCAAATAAGTGTGTAAGACCAGATAATGAAGGCTTAATTACAATAATAGCTCAAAAAAGAGTTTTTTATACAGACAGGCTTGTTGAACCAGTGAGTGGTTTATTTATAAATCAGAATTCCATTTGGCTTGGATCTAGGTTTCCATCTCCCAGATGAGAATTGAAGGTTCATGGATGTCATCTTCCTCAGTCCACAAATAGTGACAGAATAAGGACTGAAGCTAAGGTCAATTGACTTTTAACCCAGCATTCATGCAGAGAAAGAGTGGGGACATGAAGTAATGAGAGGAGAGCGTGTCCAGTTCTGCAGTTCACTCCTGGGAACACAGTTGCAGAAATACTGGTGACATGAGTTCAGACTCGGGCCCTGGTGTTGCTGACAATTTATGAGACCAGACACAGTGATACGGGAAGAAGAAGTGAAGTTTTATCTAAGTAAAGAGAGGAGAAGCTCCCCAGAAGGGAGGGGCTGGTGGAAGGGAGGTCAAGCCACGGGGGCTCTCCCTCTAGGAGTATTTGTAGTCTTTAGCACATTATCTCCAAGGATCAGGTGTGTGCTTACACTTTAGCTACTATGAAGGCAGGGGCAGTCTTCATAGAGCCTTTTCTAACTTGTTTTTGTTGAAACCTAAAATATTTGTTTAAAAGATTTATTTATTTATTTGAAAGAGTTATACAGAGAGGCAGAGAGAGAGAGAGAGAGAGAGAGAGAGAGAGATCTTTGATCTGATGGTTCACTCCCCAATTTGCCGCAACGGCCAGAGCTGCACTGATCCAAAGCCAGGAGCCAGTAGCTTCTTTCAGGTTTCCCATGCTTGGGCCATCTTCTACTGCTTTCCCAGGACACAGCAGAGAGTTGGATTGGAAGTGGAGCAGCCAGGACTAGAACTGGCGCCCATATGCGATGCTGACATTGCAGGCGGTGGCTTTATCCACTATGCCACAGAGCTGGCCCCGAAACCTAAATCTTATTGTCCACTGGCAAACATTTGTTGCAAGGGGCTTCCATACTGTTTTATTTAGTGTGTACTTGCTGGCCAGGAGCTGCAGGATGCAGTCGGGCTGGCTCCCTCGATAGCATAGGGGTTGAATGCCCAGTGTTTGCAGCAGGTCACCTGGCTTCAAGTGCCACAGTCTGTCATTGATGAGTTGCACAGTTTTAACCTTGTCACTTGACATTCTCCCTTGGTTCCTGATCTATAAAATGGTGGTGACAATTACGTACACTTCATAGAGCATTGTGAGATTAAATGGGCAACATATGTCCAGTGCTTAGAAGAGAACTTGGTGCATAATACAACTTAAATACAGGTTGCTGCATTCTTGTTGTTGATATCATCATCATTATTATTATTTGACTAGCTTCGTGTCCCTCAATGATGAGGATGGTTCTGTTTATTCTCCTAAGGTTTCTGAATGCCACTGAATGCCAATGGAACATGTCAGTGACAGGGCACAGCTGGATTCACAGCACTCTCTCCACCTCCGCCCTCCAGGTTGACCACCATCCCCTATAGAAATCCCCACACACGTGTCAGGGCTATTGAGTCCCAGGGAATACTGAGGTGGGTCAGGCAATGATTCAAAGTGGATCAGAGTCACGTGTTTAGGGAATAGTTCTCACACATCATACATGCAATAAGCACATCCAATTCTCAGGCTTTGGATTATAGAATTGTTTTTCTTTTTTTTTCTTTTTTAGACTTTATTTATTGAAAGGTCTTCCATCTACTGGTTCACTACCCAAATGCTCGCAACAGCTAGAGCTGGGTTGATTTGAAGCCAAGAGCCAGGAGCATCCCACGTGGGTGCAGGGGCTCAAGCACTTGGGCCGTCCTCAAGTACCTTCTCAGGCCATAAGCAGAGAGCTGGATCAGAAGAGGACATGAACCAGCACCCATATGGGATGCCAGTATCACAGGCAGAGGCTTAGCCCACTACACCATTGTGCTGGTCCTAGAATCAGTTTTCAATAAAGGAAATCCAAAGTTTCTAGAGAAAAGGTTGAATCTAGGTTGGACTGAGGAGGTAAGTGAATATGCAAGGTAAGTCTGGAGCCTCTTGCAATGTTAGAAATTTGAGAAGCACTTGAGAAAGGAACCAGTGGTATTATACCAACAGAACACAGGAGCCAACCGAAGAACTTCCAGAGCTGAGAGAATCTGAAAAACAGAGTAAATAACATAGCACTGAATTATAATCCAAAGTGTGGCATAAAGAGATATCCAACAACCATGAGACATACTCAGAAAAACAAATGACTGACTAGAGTTAAAAGAAAAGATGAGGTGTGGGCAGACAAATCTCTCGCAGAGAAGAGCCCTGGATAATTTCTTTTTGTAGATTCTAACCTGTCTAGGTGGTGGAGCAGAAACCCTTACCCTCCAAATGGGCTGCATGGAGTCACAGCCATAGCATGGAAAGGGAAAGAAAGAGTGGCATTGCACAGAGTAGCCTGACAAACACCTACGATCTCAGGGAGGTGGTCAAGGTCATTACCAACAGTGATGATGTCCCCTTCACATGGCATGATGAGAACAGTACTTCCCCATTTTCTTCCTCTGAAAAGTCAATTATTCCAGTCATGAGAAAAACACCACACAAATCCCAAATGGGAGACGTTCTTCAAAATGTCCAATGAATACTTCTCAAAGCTGCCAAGATCATCCGAGATCAGGGAAGTGTGGAGATGCTGTCAGTCAAGAGGCGCCTACGGAGAAATGACCATGGAACGGGACATGGTGTCCTGAGCAGGCAACAGTCACAAAGCATGGACCATAATAAAGACACCATTCCTGTAAAATCCAGACAGGAGAATCTGGATGCCGGTCTCTGGGAACTCTTTGCTATCTTTGCAACTTTTCTGTAAGTATAAAACTATCCTAAAGTAGGTAATCTTTTCAAAAATAGAATACTTTCCAAATGCCAGCTACCATTAGCATATATTGAGTTGATTCTTGCTAGGTATGCTATGTAGAATACGGCATATAGTCCCCTCCACGGTCTCAAAAGGGAGTGACTGTAACTTTAAGGTTTTAGATGAGGAAACTGAGGCACACAGAGGCACAGAAATTTCCAGAAGGCCCCAGGGTTAGCATAGATTTGAAATGGGTTTCATCTGCTAATACTCTGTTACGGAAGGCTTGGCCTCCAGCCCCTTCAGATGCATGAAAAATGGCACATTCTTTTACACACTGACAACTGCAAATCATGTGATTCTGATAAAGACTAAGAAAAACGTCTTACATGTTAAACTTTACTCAACCAAGTATTGATAGTTTGCATTTTTTCCTAGGTATAGTGGGTTTTTTTCCATAAACATGCCATACGAACACATGGAACATCTAAAATTAATATTTAAGTCCCTTTAGCTAGATATAGAATTTCAAACCATGGTATATCAGTACTCATATGACTTTGCTTTATACAATATAAAGTATTTTCCTTCAAAAAATCTAAACATCTACATTTTGTTTTACTGGTTTTTGTTTTTGAGATAACATTTTTAAATTGATATTATAGTCAAAGGCTTAATGCTACACTAAATAAAGAGTTTAGCAAATAAAAAGCAAAAAAAAAAAAAACATAGTTCAGTAGGAATGCAGGCAAGGGCTATAAACAATGATCACATGAAAAGATGTTCAGTTTCACTTACATGAATTGTCTAAGCTTGTAAAGTCTAGATTTTCTGATGGTACAATGGGCAGAAACCTGGAGAGCTCCGAGGAGCTGTTTCTTCTCACAGAGTGGACTTCTCCCACTCTGACTGATGGGCCTTTCATGCGGTATTCACTCTTCCTCTACAACAAAGGAACTCCTCTCCCTAAAAACGATTTTCTTTTCTTTTTTTTTTTTTTTAACAGGCAGAGTGGACAGTGAGAGAGAGAGACAGAGAGAAAGGTCTTCCTTTGCCGTTGGTTCACCCTCCAATGGCCGCCGTGGCTGGCGCGCCGCGCTGATCCGATGGCAGGAGCCAGGAGCCAGGTGCTTTTCCTGGTCTCCCATGGGGTGCAGGGCCCAAGCACCTGGGCCATCCTCCACTGCACTCCCTGGCCACAGCAGAGGGCTGGCCTGGAAGAGGGGCAACCGGGACAGAATCCAGCGCCCCAACCGGGACTAGAACCCGGTGTGCCGGCGCCGCTAGGCGGAGGATTAGCCTAGTGAGCTGCGGCGCCGGCCAAAAAACGATTTTCTTAAAAGGAATGATTTTAATTGCTCTCAAAATGCAATCCCTGTGGAGAGTCTGAAAAAACTTCATATATACAGTTTTAAGAATATAATATCATGAAATACATGAAAATTCTTCTCTTTATATAGATAAAAGTTGGAAGTAAAAATCTTCATAGTTCTGACAACTTAGAATTTCAACTCTAAACTTATTTATCCTTAGAAAATTAAGACTAATCTCCAGTGAGAATGCTTATTGCTACTGTGTTGACAGCAAAGGAATGGAAACAACATAAATGCCATTAGAAAACCAGTATAAAACAGTGTTGATCAATATTTACCAGCATGGAAGAGTGCTGGCAATTACTCTTTCACTGTTAAATTTTACTTTTTCACTTAATTATAAATTAGCATTTTATAAAATATGCATTTTGAGATCTTTTTAAGTTTTCAAATATTTATGAAATTATTATTAAAGTTATTTTTAGGTGATAAGATTTTAGGCTGCAGTGTGTGTGTGTGTGTGTGTATTTCTTTATCCAGTCATCATTTGCTAGACCTCTAAGTTGATTACATATCTTTGCTACTGTGAATTGAGCTTTTATAAATGTGGTAGTACAGGTAACTAACTCTTTCATATGTTGATTTCATTTTCTTTATATATTCCTAGGAGTAGGATAGCTGGGTCATATAGAAGATCTACTCTTAGTATTCTGAGAGATTTCCATATTGTCTCCATAACAGTTATATCAGTTGACATTTCCACCAAAGGTGTATTAGGATGTCTTTTTCTCTGCATTCTTGACAGTGTTTATTGATTTTTTATTTTTGGATGACAGCCATTCTAACCGGGGTGAGGTGATATCTCATTGTGGTTTGATCTGCAACCACAGATCATTATGCTTAGTGAAATAAGCGAGACCCCGAAAGACAAATATCACATATTTTCTCTGACTTGTGGTAGTTAGTATATAGAAGTAATATAAAATAATTTTCTGTGAATGAGTGAAATTGACATATTTGGATTTGATTCTTGTTCATAACCCTTGTCTATATTCCAGCTAAACAGTGGTCTTTAAAAAAAAGATTTATTTACTTATTTGAAAGGCAGAGTTACAGAGAGGCAGAGGGGGAGAAAGAGAGAGAGAGAGGTCTTTCATCTGCTGGTTCACTCCCCAAATGACTGAACAGCTGGAGCTGAGCTGATCCGAAGTCAGGAGCCAGGACTCCCACACAGGTGCAGGGGCCCAAGCACTTGGGCCATCTTCTACTGCTTTCCCAGGCCATAGCAGAGAGCTGGATCACAAGTGGAGCAGCAGACTCAAACCAGTGTCCATGTAGGATGTCGGCACTGCATGGGGTGTTTTTACATGATAAACCACAGGGCCAGACTCTAAACAGTGGTCTTTTTACTTGTTGAACTCTTTATTTAGTGGAACATTAATCCTTTAACTATAAATTAAATTAAAAATATAGTATCTGAAAAATCAAGAAAGGAAGGAAAGAAGGAAGAAAGGGGCAAGAAGGGAGGGAGGGAAGTAATATATTCTTAGATTTCTATCTATGAATTACATTAAATATGTTATTTTTATATTAGCAAAAATGTTAAAGTGTAAGTTAAAACAAAAATACTTTAGATTGGTCTTAATAATCTTCCTTATGCTTATCTACATTAACAAATTTTAAACAGGCATAATTTAAGAGAAAAATTGCAACACATGAAAATTGTAATTGTATATATTTATGTTGTACATCTATGTATAGATACATTCATAACAGAGGTCAAATTAGGGCATAGTGATGTGGCAGATTAGTAAACTCTAGAAATGAACATCCCATCTGTCAGATGTGATAAGCTGAGATTCTACTCTGAGCCTTGGATATGCAATCTGTTGGGTACTTGGTTAATGCATGCATTTTTTTCATTCCAGTGTTCATTATAATATGGATATCAGTTAAATATTTTTACACTGTACTTATACTGTCATGCAACACAGCTAACTCACAAAACCCCTTTAAACGCCCATTATTAATTCCAGGCTCACGTCATCCCAGGTCATTCCCCAGAGGTACAATCCTTTGGTAGCTCAGATTTTAGACCATAAGTCCAGGAAACTCGGCTCATTTGAATTATCATAAGGAACTGGGGTTATGAAAAGTTTCACATCTGTCATGCCACACCTGACACTCCAGCCAAACTGAAATTTCTGCCATTAGCCGCACTGCATCTGCCAGGAGTTGGTCTATGCTGAATCTTCCACCTGAAAGATTCACCCTCTCACTCTTCCCTCCCAGCACCCAGTTCCACGTACTGGTAGAGGCCAGATTTACTGCTTCCTACCCCAGAAAGCCCACTCTCCGCACCCCAAGGGGAAGAGTCCCCATTTCCCAGCTTTCCTTCCAGGGCCAGCCACCCTGTTTGATCCCCACCATCAGAATGAGTCTCTCACTGGTGTCCTTGACCTTCTCGACATCCCCCCTCCCCCACACTTTAAGTTCTTTTGGATACAAATTGAGAATGTAAAAATGAGTAGGTTAGCAGGGTTAAAATGATATTTATTAATTCACATGTTTCTACCTGGAGCATCCATGGCCTCTCCCATTGCATTAGAAGATTTTCTGGAGCAGCAACAGTTCTCCCACTTACACCATGAACAAGAGGCCAGCACCCACGCAGTCCTCAACGTAGACTTGTTGCACTGCAGCCCTTAGTGCTGGGATCATGCAATGACACAGCTTGATGACTGGGAGGCTGCAAAATACTAGGACCTAGGCCCCCAAATCTGCACCTCTTTAAACTGTCTTAGGAGGAAAGGAAGTGGAGCAGCATCCACCGGAAGGATCCCAGGACACCTGAGCGTGACCTCGTGGACTCACCGACGTCGTGCTGTAAGGGAAGCAGCGTCGCTGTCGCTGAGCTGAAGGAAGGAGTGGGAGACAGAAACACAAGTGAAGCTCAGCGTGGTCCTCACCTCGGCCGTGCTGGGGTCCGGGAAGTGCTTTCAGCCCAAAGGAGAGGGGCAGGGGAGCATCTTTACCTGTGTCGCTCTCCTCTGCGTCTGGCGGCCTTAGCACTCCTCCTCTTTGCAGGGGTAGACCGTGCCGCCACTGAGGCAGCGGGGCTGCCTGCGGCGATGCCGCCTAGAGGGGGCTGGACTCTGAGCGTGGGCCTTCTGGGAACCAGAGTGACAGGAAGTACTGCAGGGTGCGGAGGAGGGAGCCAGGCGGGGGTGTGGGCACTGAGGAGAGGAGCCTTTGGGAGCACTGGGAGGTTCCCAAGTTTGCTGCTGCTTCTGCTGTGACATTGCTAGGAGAACACAGCAAATCTGGAAGAGGAAGAGCTTGGGTTATATCAGGAACCCAGGCGGCTTGGGCATCTTTCTCTTCTCCTCTCCTAAAAATGGAGCTTCCCATTTACAACCTTTGAAAATCCATCCCAGGAGGGAAAACCACATTTTCAAAGGCTAGCTGTTTGTGGAAATTCCCAGGGGGCCCATTCAACAACAACCAAACTAAGAACGCATTCTTCCTCTTAAAAAAGAAAACCAACCCACAACCTACTTGAGCTGACAGTCTACTTCTCTTTCCCAGGCAGATATCCACTGTGTCAAGCGTATAAAAAAGAACCAAGGCTTTATGCTTTCTTCACTCATTTTTATTCTTCCTGGAGACTCCTAAGGCCGTGTATCTCCTCTCTGCTTGTCCAGCACTCTAGTGTCTATGGATTTCTCCTATGTTAGACCACTTGGGATCTTTTGCAGGTACCCACCTCCGTTCTCCCTAACCCAAGCCTCCCCTACCCAGATTATCAACTCTTTAAGGAGAAAAAAGAGGAGAGATCAGGGCTGCCTTAGAAGTACCTGAGAGAGGGACATGCAGTGTCTCTCTACTCGGAAGAAGCCTTACCCTAGAGGAAGTCGAGTGGACAAGCCATCCCTGAAAGAGTCTGGAAGCCTTGTGGGGCCAGGAGGAAGAGCGTTTTTATATATCCTCTAATTGAAGCCTCCGGGCCACTTGTTATCTTAGGGCAACAAAGGAGCAGATGATGTATCTGGTTGTTTCACAATTCCTAGGCTGGATTCCTCATCAACACACATCTGGGATGTGGTGAGTGGTCAGAAGGCTAGAGCCTTCACACTGGCCTGGGAGGAGGGGGGTCCACCTGGCAAACATGATGACATCTCTGGAGGTAAGGACAGGAATACGATGGCTGTTGAGTTCTATCAAGGATTGGAGGGAGAAGATTAGATGCAAGACAACCCAGAGTCTGAGGATCTCTTTTCCCCACCCTCCACCCATCAATCATGACCTCATGTCCTGCCCAGTGCTATCACCCTTGTGGTTCCTTGTCTGTCTCCCTAGCCACGCCCATGCCCTCCATCCTCTGAACTCTGTAGCCATCTCTCACAACCTCTGTAGTCATTCTGGGTCATAATGACCTACGTACATGTCCTATCTCCTCTACTAAACTGTTCCTTGATGACAGTGACATTGTCTTTATCACTTCTGCATTCCTAGAGCTTGATATTGTCCCTGACACACAGAAAATGCTCATTAATGTTTGGTGAAGTAAACAACCTCTGCACTAATCAAATAGACTGTGTTTTCGGAAAACGAAATGGAGAAAAACTGAGGCCAACTCAGTTTTCTGTTGTGAATCGTGTCTTAACTTCTTGTTTTCTTCATTTTCACCTCAGGCTTTTGTGAACACCCTTTTGTAACTAGTACAGAGAAATGTGTGGGTGGACCTCACCTTACACAGCAGCTGAGAATGGGGTGGAGAGTAGAATGTCCATGCACCCTACTGTCCCTTAAAGGCAAACGAGGTACTGTTTGTGCAATGTCAGGGGACCATGTGGACAGCCTTATGCAGAGTGAAGCCTCTCTTTATCGTTCGTGGACATTGATGTCTTTGTGTATTAGGGTATGTGAAGTGAGAACACGTGCTGCTAAATTTGGTCCTGGTCCCCTCCTCCTGTGCTGCTGTCTCAGAATCACTGCTGGTGCGCACAGCTCTGAAAAAAGTCTGGTACCAAGGAAACTCCTGGCTGATAAGCATTGCACCTTGTCTGCCTCCGTATCTCTAACGCCAGACACATACACTATTCAGGAAACAGTTTGGTAAATGACAGAGGTGAGCAATTACAAGGGGTATTCTGATTGTAGGAACAGTCCTCAAAAGCCTTCGAATTATCTATGGGACAAGGGTAGGCAGGGTTGGGCATAGAATAGGACATAAGAACTGCATCAGAGTGGAAGACAGGACAAGGTCAGAAGAGGAGCAGCTGGTGGTACCCCAGATCCAGCAGGACTGGATTATCCAGGATCACGGTTTTGTCTGGGAAGGCTTCAGGAGGCAGTTTGGGCATAGGGAGAAAAAGGACCTTGTGAGTGAAACGCAAGGCAGGGGCATGGTTTGAAGCCTTTCTCACCCCCATCAGAATAGGATCCCAGAGGTGGTGTCTGTGTTATGGAGCCTCAGGGATCAGACCCCCTCCTTCCTTCCCTGCCTTTATCGTCCTTCCCTCCTCTTTCTCCTTCTAACCTTCTCCCTCCCTGCCCCCTTGGGTATGGGTTAGGGCACAGAATAGGAGATAATTCAGATTGCTCCTCAGAAGTGCTTCACAGGCACTAAGTGTTAGTGAGAAAGCAAATGGGCTCTGATCTGAACCTTCCCGATTGTTCCTTTTCTCCACCCGAGACTACTCCATAAAAGTGCATGCTTCAAAGTTCTCACACGTCATAAACACATTTCCTGGAGTTCACCTAACAAGCACAAGCAACCGATCCATACTAACCCTACCTACAGGATAATGGTGCTTTCTGGGGGTCCCACACTGAGCAAACCTAGCTTCCCTTCCTCCTCTGTGTCTTTCTCAGACCATTCTTCATAAAGCAACAACAATAAAAAAAAAAAAACCTGCCCACAGACATCTCCAGGTGAGGTTGCTTTCAGTACATTTAATTCCATCACATATGGGATAGAATTAGAGGTCAACTCCAAAAGGACTTGCACTTACAGAGGAACATATTTAGCATCTAGATTTGCCTTTTCAAGGCTTCTGGCTATAGTGTCTCCCAAACAGACATACAAACCTAGCCAGTTCTAAATCAGGGCCTCACAAATTTAATGTTCTCCTTCTAGTCTCGCTCCATCTCTCTTCCTGTTTCAGATCTGTGAGTGTGATGCTATGCTTTGATATTTGTTCAGCACCTACTAAAAAGTGTATGAGTCCCACCTCATGCTGCAAAGCATTCACTCTGGAGAGAGAAGATAGACACATTAGTAGACAGCACATGACAATAGCTGAAAGATGAGCAAACAGAAAGGCAAGCGAATTCCAGTTGTAGGTTGAGAATGACATTCTTCAGTTTAAATGCACTAAGTTAAAATGATAGTGTGCGAAGTGATATGACTCCCATTGTTATAATCCATCCTGGGAAAAATCTCTTATCATTCCTGATCTGTGTTCATGACCCCATTCCTCTGAGCAATAGGTCTCTCCTGGTCACCAACCTCAAGTGAAGTTGCTCTGCCGCCTACCTACCTGGATTTCTCCTGCTCCATTTTTCTCCCAACTATTAGGCTTTTAAAAAATTTTCATCACCAGTATTTGCAAATAACTCTTCCATTTACAGAGTGCTTTCCAAATATTCTGTCCTGGCTTGATTAATTCTGATGAAGATGGCATGACAAAATCAGTGAGGTTGGAACTGTCCACCCCACACTGTGAACACCTCAACTGTATCCCATGAATGCTGTGATATTTTGACTTAGATTGTGCCCAAGAGTTTACTGTCAGGGAGCACACAGGACATCTGTTCATGACTCAGATACAGCTTATTCCAGAATGCAGCCCTGCTCATATTTTCTTAGGAAGAAGAGCTAAGAGATTTTTTTTGCCTTGTCTTTTCCCTCCAGTTAGGACTATACCAGAGCCACTGATCATTCTGACTTCTAGCTGAGGCTCTAACATCATGCTGATTGGCTTGTTACCTTGTACCTAGACCTAAATGCTTTGGTTTCCATTTCAATAGAAGAAATGGTCAGTGACAAAATATAGGCCTGGTAGAGCCTTTTCTTCATCAATGGACATGTCTCTTTTTTAAAAAAAACAAAAACCTATTTATTTATTTGAAAGTCTGAGTTACTGAGTGATATACCATCCATCTGCTGGTTTACTCCATTAATGACTGCAATGGCTGGGGGCTGGGCCAGGCCAAAGCTAGGAGCCCAGAAGTCCATCCAGATCTCCCAAGTGCCTGCAAGGGCCCAAGCACTTGGGCCATCTTCTGCTGCTTTCCCAAGCACATTATCAGGAAGCTGGATTGGAAGTGGAAGTGGAACAGTCAGGATGCAAACAGGCATCGATATGGGCACCTGGCATCAGTAGCAGCAACTTCACCTGCTGGGGTTTAACCAGCTATGCTACAATGCTGGCTCCTAGGAGTCAATCTCTTTCATTCCTCACTCCCCATTCAAAGGGAGAAGTGAAGAAGTTCTGAGATTTAAAGGAAAATGATTAAAACTATGCCCAGAGTTTACATGGTCCATAACTCCTTAGGAAACAATTTTTAAAAAGTAAATTATAAAATAAATACATAAAATCTTGAGATTCAGAGTCTTTTTGAGCCTTACAGAAAACCTAAAACAATTAAATTTTACCATTCTATCAAAGAGATACCCGTACCGCCATGTTTATAGCAGCACTATTCATAATAACCAAAATATAGAATCAATCAAAGTGTCTGTCATCAGATGAGTGGATAAAGAAAATGTGATACACACGCACACACGTGCACACACACAATGGAGCTATTCAAGTATAAAAAAATAGGATTCTGGGACTGGCATTGTGGCCTAGTGGGTAAAGCTGCTGCTGTAGCACAGGCATTCTATCTGGGCCCTAGTTCCAGTCCTGTTCCACCTGCAATCCATCTCCCTACCAATGTGCCTGGGAAAGCAATGGAAGATGGCCTTTGTCCCAGCTTCCTTGTAGAGTGAGGATTCATGTGAGAGAGGCAGACCAAGAAGACTAGAGGTTGCCACCCAGGACAGTGTCCTCCCCATGAAGCAGGAGAGTCACTCTGGGAGACATAACCCACCCCCTCCCAACTTAAGAGCAGTGGCTCAGAGAACCTGGTGGGGAAGAGGCAGGCCAAAGCTCTTGCCAAAGGAATTGGCTTTATTTGGAACACTCTGCACAAATCCAAGCCTAACGCCACTCTGGAAAATAGAACAGATTTTTGGGCCAGTGCATTGGCACAGTGGGTTAAAGCTGCTGCCTGCAGTGCCGGCATCCTATATGGATGCTGGTTCTAGTCCTGGCTGGTCCTCTTCCAATCCAGCTCTCTGCTGTGGCCTGGGAAAGCAGTAGAGGATGGCCCAATCCTTGGGCCCCTGCACTCACATGGGAGACCTGGAAGAAGCTCCTGGCTCCTGGCTTTGGATCAGCTCAGCTCTGGTTGTGAAGGTCATTTGGGGAGTGAACCAGTGGATGGAAGATCTCTCTCTCTCTCCGGCTCTACCTCTCTCTGTAAGTCTGTCTTTCAAATCAATAAAATAAATCTTTTTTTAAAAAGACAGATTTTATCTGTAAGCAGTTAAAGGGAGGCCGTTTACCCATGAGAGTGATATGCTAGACCTGAGGAGAGATGGTTTTCCAGGGAAAATCAAGGACAGCAAGGGCTGAGTTCTGAGTTCAAAGCAAACCTTAAAGACTGACCTCAAAAGTACCCCGGCAAAGGAGACTGGATATAATCAGATTCAATTCTGCTTCTATTTATGTTCTTAATCATTATATTAAAAAGAACAGAATAATCTGCTAACAATGAGTGATGTCTGCAAGTTGAGTGAGATACCACAGAGGAAGACAGATTGGCAGAGAAGTCACCAAAGAGACAACCAAGAACAGCTCTGCTGACACTACCGCCATTCAGGTTAACTGTGTGCAGGACCAAGGATGAACCCTTGGGGCTGACATCAGAAGCCGCTCACTGCAGGGGAAATAGACTACCCTAACAAGTCTGTCCAAATCAGTAAACAAATAAACAAGCAAATAATGCAACACACCTTTGGGGAGGGGAGGATCAGTTGCCACAGTAGGATATCTAAAATGATAATTTTTCCCACTGGAAAGCATATGGAACATACAAATCAACAGCAAAGTGTGACTTTTCACTGCCTGTGAGGGGCCCAAAGGTTGGACTTCATAAGCAAAGACTTCAAAACAGCTGTTAGAGTGAATGTGATCATAACCACCGAAAGACAAAAATCCTCAACACCAGAATCCTGAAGGCTAAGATCTCTAAGGCTTAAAATCCTGAACGTCACAATAGAAAAGATTAAAATCCAGGGAGTTGAAATCTGAAAGCCAAAAGCCTGAAAACCACAAGCCCATTAAACAAAAGCAATATAAAAGGGTGAGATGTTGAATTCTGGGGAAGGTACTTGCCACACAATATGACAATGACAAAAGCTTCAATTTAAAAATGGGTCATTTGTGTACATTGATGTTTCTTCCACTTGATGAAATTTAAGCAGTTAGTGAATTAAAGGCTCTTTTGTGTGATGAAACCAGTGGAATCACTGGCTGATTCAAACGTGATTGCAGGGATGGGCATTTCTCACAGTGGTTGAGACAGCGCTTGGGCACCCTCACCGTGTATCAGGGATTCAAGTCCCGCCCATGCATCCAGTTTCCGCTTCCTGATAATACATGCCTTGGGGACAGGCCAGAGCTCAAGTATTTGGGCCTCTGCCAACCAAGTGAGAGACCCGGCTTGAGTTCTGGGCTCCTGACTTTGGCCCCATGCAGCCTCAGCTGTCATGGGCATTTGGGGAATGAACTAGTGTATGGAAGATCCCTGTCTCTCTGTTCCTCTGCCTTTCAAATAAATAAAAATAACCAAGCAAAAATTTTTAAAAATAATTATGCACATGGCATGATATTAAGCTGGCATTCGTATTGATTCTGCCAAACTCGTGGGCTGTATTTGAGTGCACGTGGAAAAGATTTCTGTGTAACCAAAACAACATAGAAGCGCGGTATAAAGATGGGAAAATTTAGTAGGACATGCTCATGTAGGTGCATATTTAATCAAATATTATCAAAAATAACATAAATGTGAACATATTGTCCAAGCAGGGCCTTGCCTGAAAAGGAAAAAACAGCTATTTATCACTATGTAGAGCTTCAATGTATGGTTGATTAATGATTGCGAATGTCATCCAACTCCTATGTACTGCCTTTCTGCTACAAATCTATCCCTGTAACATCGTTTTTTGTGTGTTCAATTTCTTTCTTTCTTTCTTTCTTTCTTTCTTTCTTTCTTTCTTTCTTTCTTTCTTTCTTTCTTTCTTTCTTTCTTTTTTGACAGGCAGAGTGGACAGTGAGAGAGAGAGACAGAGAGAAAGGTCTTCCTTTGCCGTTGGTTCACCCTCCAATGGCTGCCACGGCTGGCTGCGGTCGGCGCACCACGGCCGGCGCACTGCGCTGATCAGATGGCAGGAGCCAGGTACTTCTCCTGGTCTCCCATGGGGTGCAGGGCCCAAGTACTTGGGCCATCCTCCACTGCACTCCCGGGCCATAGCAGAGAGCTGGCCTGGAAGAGGGGCAACCGGGACAGAATCCGGCGCCCCAACCAGGACTAGAACATGGTGTGTTGGCGCCGCAAGGCGGAGGATTAGCCTCGTGAGCTGCGGCGCCGGCCTTCAATTTCTTTTTAGTTCTAGTTTTTTGTGTTGCTTCTTTTTAAAGCTGTTTCCTTTATTTTTAATCATCAGCATTATTTTTAGGAAATTTTCTGTGTTCTCTACTTCCTTCTGCCTCATTTCTAATACCAGGGCATATAAGTTATGTGTGAAATACTTGAGGAAACTAACTTTATAAGGACAAAAGTTTTATTTAGCTCAGAGTTGTGAAGGTTCAAAGTCCAAGATCCGATGGACCTCTGGTGAGGGTGGGGATAGCAATGGAGGGAGCAGGTGTTGGAATGAGCAGGCACATCTATACCCAGGCAGCCAGGAGAGACTGGGTTCAAGCTAGGATTGTTTCTTATCAGTCTTCTAATGACAACTGCTTTCCTAGGGCATACTCACAAAGACCTAAACACTTCCCACTCTACTCTGCCTCCTACAGGTTGCATCAGCTCCCAGCAGTGCCTCCCTGGGAACCAAGCCTCTAATTATGGATCTTTGAATGAGAACCAGTACTATCCAAACCATAGCATTGTGTAAAGACTTTGGAGAGTTTTAACTTACTTTATGCCTTTTGACTCCACAAAAAGCATTATCACAATGTTGACTTTGTATGTAAGCATTGTGCATGTACATGAAAATTTTAAAACTTCCTCAATAAATGAAGAGAAGTCCTTTTTTTACATCTGCCTTTGTGAAAGGTAAGATTTCCTGAGAGTTCTCCTCCTTGGGCAACTGCATGTGGATGGTGACTCCCTGCTGTTTTTGATCTATCCTGTCAAAAACCTGAGGTTGTCCATCAAGGTATTTCAGGAGACCACACTGATAAAGCAAGGTACACATAATTACCAAATATAGTGAGATATATTTCAACATTTTGCTTATTTAACTGTTGGTTTATAAATGTGGTTTCTCTCCCCACAACTATTTACACTTATCTGCCATGAGTGTAACAGAGCATTTATGCTTGTAAAAATAGGTATATCGTGGGGTTAGCATTTGGCTTAGTGATTAAGTCACCAGTTGCCTGCATTTCATGTCAGAGTGCGTAATTGAAGCCTGACTCCTCTGCTTCTGATTCAGCTTCCTGCTAATGCACAACCTGGGTGCAGCAGGTGGTGGTTCAAGTAGCTGGGTCCATGCCAGCCACATGGGGGATCTAGATAATGTCCAAGGCTCTTGGCTTTGGCCTGGCTCAGGCTTAGCTGTTCTAGGCTTTTGGTGAGAGAAACAGCAGACAGAAGAAATCTCACTCTCTATTTGTCTGTCTCTCCATTTTTCAAAATAAAATATAAATAAATAAATAAAAATGTTTAAAGGGTGTGTATATTATTATTTTCTACTTTATTGTGTAAAGTGGCCTGCGAATACCCAGTCTTATCTTCATTTGTTTTTAAGTAAAATTCTTTTTGAAAAGGTAAATGAATATCTTTCAAAGAATTCTTAAAATTAACTTTTTCAGAATTGTATTTTTGAGATTTTGATCTTTTAGTATTTTAAGCTTTAAAGATTTTAGTTTTTTGCTATTTTGATTTTTTTGGGGATTTCAATATTAGGGATCATGGCATTCAGGATTGTTCTGCATTATAGCCCAATCCTGCTTAATAGCTGTATTCAATGAATTAAAGGAAATCATGCTTTAAAAATAAAGGAAATATGAAAATATCTTAAAAATGGAGACTGTCCATAAACTGATCGAAATTATTTTTAAAACCTAATTGGAAATTCTACAGTTGAAAAGGATGACAATGAGATGAAAAATTCATTACAGGATCTCAACAGTGCATCTGAACTGGCAGAAAAGAGAATATACAAGGAAGATAGATCAATAGAGATTACATAATCAAGAACAGAAAGAAAAAATATTGAAGGAAAATGATAAGAATCTAAGGGGGGGAAAGGACATTAAGGACACCAACCTATGTGTTAGATGAGTACAAGAGGTCAAGGAGACAAAGAGAATAATGCAGAAAAATTTCAAAAGTAATGACAAAAAGTTCCCCAAATTTAATGCCAACATGAATCTATTTAAAAAGATAAGCAAGCTCAATATACAAGAAATAGAAATTCACAAGCAGATAGTATAGCATTAACTATAACGTAAACATAAACATAGACAGCAACAGAAAAAATGGTCATCACTTACAAAGGAATCACAGTTGTATTTACAGCTGAATTCTCATTAACAAAAGAAAGAATCCAGAGGCCTTGGAATGACATTTCAAGGTGTTTAAAGGAAAAAAAAAAAGCAAAACAAAGCACAAGGAAACAAAACTGTCAACCAGGGATGCATATAAAGATTCAGGGAAGAAACTGAGATTTAGAAATAAAACTATAAATATGGTGAATTAATTGTTTATATGGGTGCCAAAATTTATATGTATTTCTCTCTATGTTTTTCTTTGTTGAACAGTCTTTCAACAAATGATACTGAGACGACTAGAAATCCATACGCCAAAGAACGATGATGACCCTTAACTCAAGATGGGTTAAAAAAAGGTGGTCAGAACAATAAAATTCATAGAAGAAGAAGAACATATACAATAAAACCATTATGACTTTGTGGGAAAGTGTGATCTCAGCTCTCATGGAACTCTGGTCTGAAAGAAACCGCTGCACCCGTCCTTAGGGAGTGTCCTGTCTGAGAGAGGAGAGAGGAACATTTCTGAGTCCAGGTGGGGCACTTCCTCTCTCTGGTGAATATGGGATTCTTTTGATTCTTTTGTGTGGGAACTCCTGTTTAGACTGCATGGTGCTCATCTGTCACTTTGAGATGTGCCAACTCTGCATTTGGTGGGATGCTGGCTGGATTTTCTGGAGTGGCTCACACAATACCTGTGGTGTTTGAAACCCCTCATGTTACAGAATCGAAAGGATTCTGGCCTTGTGGAATAGTTCAAGAGCAGGTGCATGACCGAGGACTCGTGTATTGAATGTTCTGCCATGGACTTTGAATTTGAGTGACTGACCAAAGACACAGGGACATCTGGAAGTCACATTAATCACAGAAGTTGGGAGGTGTGCACTGTGTGATTCCTGGGACGAGTTCCTGCCATACCTGAGCTGTCAGATACTTGTGTTTTATCATGGACTGAAAGGCAAGTGCAAGGTAATGGATATTTACCAAGTTTATAACATTATTGAGGCATAATTAACATAAAGTGAAATTAATAATTATCTCATGTGACATTTACAATTGAGAAAAATTATGTTAAAAACTAGGGCTTCATTATAAAATATGAAAATATTTGACTTAAAAAACTGGACTTGAGGGACCAGTGCTGTGGCACAGTGGGTTAAAGCCCCAGCCTGCAGTGCCAGCATACCATATGGGTGCCGATTTGAGTCCTGGTTGCTCCACTTCCAATCCAGCTTCCTGCCAATGCACCTGGGAAAGCAGTGGAGGATGGCCCAAGTCCTTAGGCCCCTGCACCCATGTAGGAGACCCAGAGGAGGCTCCTAGCTTTGGATTCAGATAGGTTCAGCTCAGGCCATTGCGACCATCTGGGGAGTGAATCAGTGGATAAAAATCTCCCTCACTCTGTTTCTATCTCTCTTCTCTGTAACTCTATCTTTCAAATAAATACAATAAAATAAATCTTAAAAAAAAAACTGGACTTGAGACTTGGAGAGAAAATGAAAATAACTAATCTTTGAATTTCATGCTTTGTTTTTCTATAGATTTGTAAATTTTATGATATTTTCTATATCCTATGTGCATATTTCTAGTTAGAACTAAGATTCCTGATCTATTTGCAGAAATTTCATGTGTAATTTTTTAAAATTTTCAACACTGTAAAATAAAGAAATTTAGGACTGGGTTGGTCAAAATGATAAAGAGTAGAAGTAGGCCAATGAGGGATGGGGCATGCATCTGTCTTCCCGCCGTGGCCTAGGGTGGAGCTGGACCCTGAACGACAGTTCAGAGTCCAAGGAACTGTGCTCCTAAGAGCCCATGGAGACTCAGCTCAAGCGAGCTATACACGGGTCAGAGTAAGAGGTGTCCTCGTGCCATAGCAGTGGAACTAATACATCAACTTCTAAGGTCTCCAGGCAACAAGAAAATGGATATCAGTGAAAAACATGGACACAGGAGCAGGGAAGGAACAGTCTAGAACAAGATGGTGAGCAAAATCTTTGCTTTATCTTTTCTTTTGAGGTTCCGGTCTGCAAGGAAGTAAGTTGGGAGTGAGTGAGCACCTGTGGTTTGAGGACAGTGGAGTAACACTAGTTTGTGCGGAGGTCAGCACATAGGCTGTTAGGAAAGGATTCAGGCTTCCCGATGATAGGCACAGGGTTCCACAAGGCTGGAATGCTGAGCCCTTACCAGGACATCTCAGCCACTCATGAGGGCCCAGGAGAAGGAAGAGGAGGAAAAGGTGACCACTTACTTCTCCCAACTCTTGTTATAGGTGCATGGTCTTCCTCAGTGGGGGCCTCCAAAATGTTGCTGATCAGCCCCCTGCAGTGCCCAGAGTCTCTGGAGGACTGGCTGCAGCAGCCAGAGCCTACTGTCTGCAGCTAGGGGACCTGGGGGTCCTGCGGCGGTGCAGGGAGTGGCTGCCACCCCCAGAGCTGGAGCTGCATCCCCAGCTGGCCACGTGTGGCAACTCCTGCAGCTGAAACTACGGCAGAGGAGACTGGAGGATATTCAGAGGTAGAACACTTGGAGGGGCACTTGGGGTGTTCTTGCAAAGGGGGCTGGCATTGCTGTTGGCTCTGGGCTGGCGTCTTTCAGGAGCTGAAAGAGAGTCAAACAGGGAGTCAAACCAAGGCCACACACGCCTCATGTATTATCTTCTAACCATCATTTCTTTCCCATACATCCTTTTTAAAAACAAGTTCTTCATTTAATAGGTCTGAATTCATTTTCCCCACATGGTTTTATACACGGCCATCTGTTGAAACATTTCTTTGTAACAAATCTGAGTTTTAAAAAGATGCTGTGAGTTCTGTATAAAACGGTGGGTATTAAATTGGTTCCTTTGTTTAGACTTTTAAGCCTCCATTTCACCACAGAATAAAGAGTATAGGCTAAAGAAAGCATAACTTGTCACTCGTATAGAATAGCATTGTTTATTGTATAGAATAGAATACACATGAATTTGAAGCTTTCTGAGTGGACAGGTTTGGGCCCAAGGAAATGTTAAAAGATTACTTAATGAACAGACTACATGGAAATTGCACAAAATGCTATTAACCTTAATCATTAATAGCTTAAACAGAGCTATATTACTAATTGCTATTCAAAATAATAAAAAATCCACCTGCTTTCGAATCCCTGCGGAGGTGGCATGCATACACACGCATGCCACCCTGTACTTATGGGTGTGTCAATACGATTGCAACAGAAACTTTGGCTTTAGGAAAGAGCCACAACTTTCAAAAGAATGACTTTCATCACCATTTTAAGTATACACTGCGTAAAGATGTGCTTTAATTAGGTGTATACCAGACCAGTGATGCTGGCAAGTGTGAAACTTACTCTTAACGTTCATAGCTATAAAAACTAGTTTGTACATGACAAGACAATGAAACAAAAGCAATCCTTTTGCAACAAAATTTTAAAAAAAAACGTTCACAGTGGTTTGTGTCAACAGTATGAATTTTATGAGAATAACATATACAGACTCAGAGCATCCTGTGGCTCTTCATATCCTAAAGAAAATGAGCATTAGCACATTATTCATGGATTTACCAAATTAAAAAACACATCAACTGTACACTCACCCCTTAGAATGAATTGTCCCAGGGTGTACAGCTTTAACACCATTATTAAAGTTGTTTGCAGGGGCTGGTGCTGTGGCATAGCAGGTAAAGTCACCACCTGCAGCACCGGTATCCCATGTGGGCGCAGGTTCAGGTCCTAGCTGCTCCACTTCTGATCCAGCTCTCTGCTATGGCCTGGGAAAGCAGTAGAAGATGGCCCAGGTCCTTGGGCTGCTGCACCCATGTGAGAGACCTGGAAAACGCTCCTGGTTCCTGGCTTTGGATCAGCATAGCTCCGACGGCTGCAGCCGGCCATTTGGGGAGTGAACCAGTGGATGGAAGACCTCTCTCTCTCTCTCTGCTTCTCCTTCTCTGTGTAACTCTGACTTTCAAATAAATAAATTTTTTAAAAAGTTGTTTGCAAAAGGAATAGCGAATTAAAAACCTAAACAAAACAAAACACTTTTTTTTTCAGGGAATTCACAAAATAAAAAATGAGAAGAGAGGCCCCACCAAACACAGATCTATCTGGGCAAGCTGACCATACCCTTTACATTTTTAAAAATGAAGGCTGTTACAAGCCCTAACTAGGCAGTGTCAAAACACACCTATTCCTTCGCTTGCTTTGTGACCATACATATAATGCATATATCATCCTTAGAAACACACACAAAGTAGACATTTTTACACAGTAGTTAAGAAGCTGCTCCTATACTGTATCAGAGTGCCTAGGATCAAGTTCTAGCTAGGCTCCCAGTTCCAAGTTCTTGCTAAGGCAGCCCCTGGGAGACAGTGGATGCTGAATCAAGTACTTGGGTCCCTGCCACCCATGTGGGAGACTCAGATTGAGCTCCAGGCTCCTGGCTTCTGCTGGGCCCAGTTCTGGCTGTTGCAGGTATTTGAGGAGTGAACCAGTGGATGGAATATCTTTTTCTGTGTGTCTCTCTGTCTCTCTATCTTTCAAATAAAAAGAAAATATTTTTTAAAAGCAGACATGGGCACTCATATGCACATATAGACACTCTGCAGCAGATTTAGCAGCAGTGCCAAACCTAAACCAAGTGTACCTGCAAACGCCCCCCTCGAATGTCCCCCCGAGTATCCTTGTTGGTGTCCTCCAGACTCTGTGCAAGAGCTGCTGTGACTCCAGCACAGGAGGAAACTCGAACTCTGGGCATCCGTGGTAAAGTGGTGAGACATGAAAAAGCTTGGCGATGTCTGTGCTTCTTTGTACAAATCTGAAGAACTGCAGCTAATGAATTAACACTGTGGGAGGAAGAAGGGGGGAGTTCTGTGGAACAAGCTCCAAGAGAGTGACTGGCAAGCGCCACTAAGAAGACAAGGCAGGAGGTGGTAATGGATTCACTCCCACTCCATTTCTAAGTCACAGGACCATGTGGGCCTGGGGAGACAAGTACTCCCCTGCCCAGCCCTCTCACACGTGCTGGGCTAATAACGCTGGGGGAAAGGCCCAAGGCCAGGATAAGACAGCTTTGGGGCAAGAGCATCTCCACCCACTCACTTCCTGATTGGCTCAGAGACACTGTGCTGGGTGGGACCTTGAGAAATGTCCGCTGGGAACAGGGGCAGAGGTTTCCCAAGACACATGCTCCTACCAGAGCTGGAAGGGGGTCTGGGCAGGGTCTTAGGGGGAGGAGGTAACTGAACTAGCTAGGGGAGAGAACATCTCCAAAATTCTAATGAAGGAGGATGGACTGTGGGGTGGAAGAAACCAGGCAGGCACAGATGACTTGTCAGTCTACGGTCTATGGCTTAAACAAAATTAGGTGTGTCATCAGGAATCCAGCTCTGTTTATCAGAGCCAAAGTTGAACACTGGGTTGCAAGCGGAGAGTCACGGCAGGATGGTGATGGGGGGAGGCTGCGGTTGCAGAGGGAAACCTGGGGCCAGTTCCGAGCTGCCACAGTTAGCTTTAGCCTTCACTTTCTCTGCCACCCACATGAGAAACTTGGGTTACATTCCTGGCTCCCACCTTTTGTCAGGCCCAGTATTAGCTGTTGTGGGCATTTGGGGAGTCAATCAGTGGAGTCGTGTATGTCTTTTTTGTCTCCGTTTCTCTCTACATCCCTCTGACTCTGAAAGTTAATTTTTTAAAAATTTTGCTGCAAATAATTTCACACCCATGCATTTGATAAGTCTTCAAAAATTCATGAAAAGGCATATTATGAAAAAATTAATTTTTACATCCAAATAAATTTATCTTTTAATTCTATTTTCCACAAACTTCTCAAAGTACCTTCATTATACAACAATCAGAAGATGTAATTTATTTTTTAAAAGATTTATTTATTTTATTTGAAAGTCAGAGTTACACAGAGGAGAGGCAGAGAGAGAGAGAGAGAGAGAGAGAGGTCTTCCATCCGATGGTTCATTCCCCAATTGACCACAACGGCCAGAGCTGCACCGATCGGAAGCCAGGAGCCAGGAGCGTCCTCCGGGTCTCTCATGTGGGTGCAGGGCCCCAAGGACTTGGGCCATCTTCTACTGCCATCAGTAGGGAGCTGGATTGGAAGTGGAGCAGCTGGGTCTCGAACTGGTGCCCACATGGGATGCTGGCACTGCAGGCAGCGACTTTATCAGCTACGCCACAGCGCTGGCCCCAGAAAATGTAATTTAAATGTAAAGCCATATATAACCATGAGTCTCTTAACAACAGGGATATGTTTTGAGAAATGCTTTCTTACGTAATTTCATCCTTGTGTGAACCTCATAGAATGCGCTTACAAAACCTCATTGGTGTAGTCCACTGCACACCTGGGCTGTATGGTGTAGGGTGCTTCTAGGCTAGAATAGACCATATATTGGGCTACAAATCAAGACTCAGCATGTTTAAAAAGACTGAAATCATACCACATATGTTCGCAGATATCGAAGCCATAAAGCTAGGGGTCGAGAGGAAGAACAATAGAACACTTAGAAATACATGGAAATTAGACAATATGCTACTGAACGACCAATGGATGATTGAAAAAATTAAAAAGGAAATATAACTTTCTTGGAATAAATCAATTCATAGTTTTTTCATAATACACATTTTCCATGTATTTTATAAAGACTTTCCATATGCAAAATCTTTTGCCATTCGGGTGAGAGTTTGGCAATGATAAAGATACTTCTTGGGGTGCTCATATCCCACCATCAGGGTGCCTGGGCTGGTGTCCTGGCTCTGTTTCCAATTCCAGCTCCCTGATAATGCACATCGTGGGAGGCAGAAGATTATGGCTAAAGTGCTTGGGTTCCTGCTATGACCTGGGGGACTGGATTGAGCTCTGAGTTTCTGGCCTCAGCTCTGCTCAGCCTCCACTCTTGTGGGCATTGAAGCAGCAGATGGCCGATCTCTTTGTCCCCCTGAGGGACGTGCCCAAGGCTCCTCTTGAGGAGGTGTAACTCTTCTTAGAAATATGTACTTGGTGGCTGGCTTGGTTTGTTTCTTTTTGTCATCACAGACTTGTTCATAGACAGATTATTTACCATGAACATTTCTCTCTAGTAATGAGAACCTCCTGGTCTGGAGACACATTGTCAAGATTTCCAAGGTGTGTGCTGAGGTCTGCAAAAGCTGCTGCTACACCCTTCACTGTGAATTTTCTTAGGGTTTCTTCTTTTCCCTCTTTCTCAGTTTCCTTTTCTTTGACCTCGTCTCCAGCTATGCATTTTTGTTCCATTTCCAACTCTTCATGAGTCTGTTTCTCAGGAACTACCCTGGGACTTCCTCAGTGTCCTCCCCCTCCACACCCAGATTAAAACTGGTTACCGTCCCCAAACCTCTGCCTGGGTGATTTTTGCAACCTCTTCATCTTGGCAAGTCTTTTGAAGTAAAGGTTGAGCCTCTTGAGTGCCCTCTTCCAGGTGCTTCTCACACACTTCTTGGTGACAACACTTCCAGGTCAAGTGAGGCCCTTGTTGCCGTCATAAATGCTGCAATCCTTCCGGAATTGCTTCAGCGTATTCCTGAGATGCAGCAATCGTCTGGAGATGAGGGCCTCCTTGAGTAGCACACTTTAAAAGCTGCTGTAAAGTCTTGATCTCTTGGTTGGACAGAAGAGGTGGTTGGGGAGAGAAGCATCACTTTGATATTAGGATGAAGAAAAGTCTGATTAACTAGGATGTTGGAAAGTGAGGATTACCACCAGAAGGTTGTGTAGGAGCATCATCAACAAGAAGCAACATCTGGAAAGGGAACTTGTTCCCCAATAGTCGTTCTCTGTCCTGCTCTAACAGCCATTCAGAAGAGCATCTCGGAGGCAGAACTGGGTAACCTGGGACTTGATGTTGCACTTGTAGAACTGGCAGCAGTGTGTGCCTACGGGAATGCTTGAAGGCCTTGGGGTTCTGTCTGCCAGTTCACAGAGGATTTCAACATTGCCCAAGGCAAGACTATTATCCTGTCTTTAAAAGGCATTACTTTGGCCTTTTCCTAGAGGAAAATCCTTCTAGGCATCTGTTTCCAAAACAGGGAGATTTCATCCATATTGAAGGTTTCTCTGGCAGGTAATTTTCCTCCACAATCTGCTAACCTGGGATTTCCAGCAACCTTCACACCAGCACTTGCCGACTCAACACTCACTTTCACAATATGTGATGGATAATGGTTCTGGAACAGCTGAAACTTCCCAGAGCTGCCAGTGAATTCAACATCCTACTCAAGTCTACGCTTTTCTTTCAATAGATAGATTACTTAACACACACCTGCTCACAAAAACGTATGACTTGATAAAGTGTCATAGAAGTATGTTATTTAAGATGGGAGTTGAAGGAGATGTAGACTTGCAAATTATCCAGATGGTGGAGAGGGATTTGAAGAAAGTGTCAGATAAACAAAATAGCAAGTAATACTGATAATAAACATAGGAAGTAATGAGTAGTTAGTAATAACAATAGCAGCAGTCATATCACCAATAGTTGTGGCAACAGTTACAACAGAGAAACTATAATTTATTGAACTCTTACAATATCCCAGACACTGCTATAGGATTGTCAATCCTATTGACTTCTTTCCAGAAAAAAAGTTATGGAGAGGTTGGAAACAGTTTCCATTGAGTCTTCAATGTAGTTCTTTTTTTTTTATTTGACAGATAGAGTTAGACAGTGAGAGAGAGGGACAGATAGAAAGGTCTTCCTTCCATTGGTTCACCCCCCCCCCAGTTGGCCGCTATGGCTGGAGCTACGCCTATCTGAAGCCAGGAACCAGGTGCTTCTTCCTGGTCTCCCATGCAGGTGCAGGGGCCCAAGCACTTGGGCCATCCTCCACTGCCTTCCCGGGCCACAGCGCCACAGCAGAGAGCTGGACTGGAAGAGGAGCAACCGGCACTCAAACCTGACGCCCATGTGGGATGCCAGCACCGTAGGTAGAAGATTAACCAAGTGAGCCATGGCTACGGCCCAATGTAGTTCTTTTTTTAAAAAAAAATTTATTTATTTGAAAATCAGACTCACAGAAAAAGGGGAAGGGGAGAGAGAGAGAGAGAGAGAGAGAGAGAGAGAGAGAGAGGTCTTCCATCCATCCACTGGTTCACTCCCCAGATGGTTGCAAGAGTAATTTTATATGCAAATGTGTCTGAAATTAACTGATTGCAAAAGTAGGGAGACCTGTATTTCCAAACTAAAGCTATTTTGTCCTTTACTATCCTTCATTTCTTTTTTTTCTTCATTTGTCATATTTTTCTTTCCATATGTGCATGCGTATATTCCTGCATGTGTAAACAGGAGGGTGTTTTGGTGGGGCTAAGTCAGGAGTGACATAATGAGCCCACAGAGGGAAAGGTCATGGAGGGACCAGGTTAGGTCCTGAAGGTTCCCAGGGGCAAAGCAGTTTAGAAAAGACAACTCAGGCTAGCTCACTAGCAACCCTGTTTCAGGGTCAGGTGGCACGGAACTCACGGTAGTGGAAGCATTTGTCTTTCCACTCCTTCCCCTACTCACTCCACTTCAAGCCAGAATACCCCTCTGGCCTCTGAGGTCTCAGGTCATCCGTAAGTTAAGACAGGCTGAGGAAAACCATGGCCACCCGAGAAGAGGAGCCTTGTTGAATGAGACACAGCAAACTGCTCGTTTTATTCTTTTAATCACTGGAAGAGGATGAATGAGCTATGGTTGTTGCCCTGAGGTTGTGAGGGTGGCCACAAAGATGGCGTCCCAGGACAGGTAACGGGGATCAGGGAGGAGAAACAGTTCTACGAAGTTCAGCATCCTCCCGGGACATCTGAGCCGCAGGGGCAGGCCCAGGAGGAGGAGACTGTCCTTGGCGGTCTGCTCTCCTGAATTCTGCTTTTCCAGGCTCAGGGTCCCCCTCAGCAGCAGCCCCCAGATGACTGGCTGCCGCCCCCTCCACAGCAGCTGGAGCCCCCCGAGGGCTGGCTGCAGCAGCCTGAGCTCTGCTGTCTGCCGCGGTGCGACCTGCGGGGCCTGTGGTGGCTCAGGCAGCAGCCCCCACCCCCAGAGCTGCAGCAGCCCCCACCCCCAGAGCCGCAGCAGCCCCCACCCCCAGAGCTGGAGCCGCAGCAGCCCCCAGAGCTGGAGATGCAGCAGGAGGACACTGGAGGACACTTAGGGGGACACTTTGGGGGGCATTTGGGGGCTTGGCACTTGGGAGGGCACTTGGGGGGGCACTTGGGAGGGGGCTGGCACTGCTGCTGGCTCTGCTGGCAGGACATCTGGGCAGGCGGGCGTTCGGGATCTGAGGGGAAATCACACAGCACGTCAGACCCAGGCCGCAGGGCCAGCCCTACGTAGGTTTTTCCTCTCAGCAGCGTTTGTGCACAGCGACTAGGATGAGTTTTAGAGAGCAAATCCCCAACACTGTTATCCTTTCAAATCCCGCCCACTCTTCTCACGAGATCTTTGAACCTTAGCTTATCATTTGAAAGTAGGGAGGGATGATCATGTTTCACCACATAGATACACTGAGGCCAATTTATGTAAAAAAACTGAAAAACATACTTTTTTCTTACATAAGCCATCAAAATATTAAAATGATCTTATGAAACTTAATTTGATTATGGAAATAACACATCCTAAATAGTTCAGAGTGAGAGAGACGCGCTAGATTAGACTAGAAGGTGACAGAGGCCATTTCCAGGCTGGCTCACTTAGCTGAAGAGGAAGCTGCGGGAGGCAAAGCTTGTACGCAGTTCCTTGGCTCACAGCCTAACGCTCATGCTCTCCAAAGGGCCTCCTGTTGCCTGCACCTAAGGTTATTATACTTCCTGTGTTCCTTCAACTCTGGAATTTTAAAATACCTATCCAACGCCCATGTTTCCAACAACCTCCCAAAATGCCTCTGATCTCTTCCAGATTGTGAGAATTGATGTCCCTGAATCCTACCACGAAGAGAAGGATACAGTGGTATCTCAAAGGTAGTCTCCCGGTATGAAATATCTTCTAAGAAATCAGAATGGCCTTTAGGGCTCTCACCCTGAGAATCCCCAGTGGAGGAGCAGTCCCATTCTTCACAGCTTAGGCAGCTGTGGCAAGACCCCCGCTGCTCTTATAGTGGCAGATCTCCTTGCTCAGTCCGTCTGGGCCTCCCCTGTCTCTAGTGGCACGGCCTCCAGCCTCCATGCCCATCTCCCCTCCTGCTGTGTCTGAGACCCCTCTGGGGAAGCCCCTGCTGCTGTTCCCAATGGGCACCTACCAGGACCAGATGCAGCGCAGGGTTCCTGGGTACCTCAGGAGGTGAGAGGTTGGCTGTGCTGTGGTCCCCAGGGCCTTTTATTCAGGCCTTGGGCCCTGCCCCAAGCGTGAGACAGGGCATGGGCATGGAGGAACCACCTCCTGACGCCCACTTGGTCTCGTGACAGGTGATGACTGGATCGTCCTTACCTGCTTCCTCCATGGCGCTCAGGACAATTCTGCCATCAGTGCTAGTTGCCCTTCCACAGCTGCCTGACCCTCAGATCTTGATTTTGGGGTGGGGTCTCCTAAATTGCCTCCCTCTGTTTTCTGTGTCTTGGTTCTCTCCAGCCACCTGGCAGGCCCTGCCTGTGTGTGTATGAGTGTATTTGTGTGTGTACGGAGTTGGCCTCACACGAGGCAGGATCTTGGTTCTATTCTTTAAAAGATTTTATTTATTTATTTGACAGATAGAGTTACAGACAGTGAGAGAGACAGAGAGACAGAGAGAAAGGTCTTCCTTCCGTTGGTTCACTCCCCAAATGACCACAATGGCCACAGCTGCACTGATCCGAAGCCAGGAGCCAGGTGCCTCCTCCCAGTCTCCCATGTGGGTGCAGGGGCCCAAGCACTTGGGCTAACTTCCACTGCTATCCCAGGCCACAGCAGAGAGCTGGACTGGAAGAGGAGCAGCCGGGAATAGAACCGGTGTCCATATGGGATGCCGGCGCCACAGGCGAAGAATTAACCACAACACTGGCCCTTGGTTCTATTTTTTTTAAAGATTTATTTATTTATTTGAAAATCAGAGTTATACAGAAAGAGAAGGAGAAGGAGGGAGGGAGGGAGGAAGAGAGAAGGGGGGAGAGAGAGAGAGAGAGAGAGAGAGAGAGAGAGAGGTCTTCCATCTTCTGGTTCACTCCCCAGTTGGCTGCAACAGCTAGAGCTGTGCCTATCCGAAGCCAGGAGCCAGGAGCTTCTTCCAGGTCTCCCACACAGGTTCAGGGCCCCAAGGACTTGGGCCATCTTCTACTGCTTTCCCAGGCCATAGTAGAGAGCTGGATGGGAAGTGGAGCAGCTGGGACTTGAACTGGTGCCCATATGGGATGCCGGCCCTGTAGGCGGTGGCTCTACTTGCTGTGCCACAGCGTCGGCCCCAGGTCCTATTTTTTTAAGATTTATGGATTTATTTGAAAGTCAGAGCCACAGAGATACAGGGAGGGAGAGAGGGAAGGGGAGAGAGAGAGAGAGAGAGAGATCTTGGATCTTGTGGTTCACTCCCCAGATGACCACAATGGCCAGGGTTCTGCCAGGCTGGAGCTGGAGCCAGGAGCTTCATCTGGGTCTCTCATGTGGGTGCAGGGGTCCAAGCACCCAGGCCATTATTTGCTGCCTTCCCAGGAACACTAGCAGGAGGCTGAATCAGAAGTGGAGAAGCCAGGACATGAATCAGTGCCCACGTGAGATGCCGGTGTCGCAGGTGGTAGCTTTACTCTTCATACAACACCGGCCCCAGAATCTTGGTTCTGTCACTGACTTACCGCCTGTGTGACCTTGTGAAAATCACCTGCACTTTCTTCTTGTCAATTTCATGAACCTGACAAAACAGATAGTGCTGATTATTTTCCGAGTAGTGTGAGGGTCAACAGAATAGGGAAGGAAAATGTTTATGAATGTTCCTGTCACGTAGCAGGCCCTCTTACAAAATATATCTATCAGGAATGAAAGAGGCGTGGGCTTTGTGTAGATCACAGCACGTTCCTGGGGGAGTGGCATCTGAATTTTTAAATGGCCATTTTTTCAATAAGGCCCTTCACGTATTTTCACGTGCCAAGAACCCTGCAGAGACGCCCAAGGGAAGAGCTCCCTGTTTGTTGTTCTGTAGGACAGCTCGGGAGGCTGTTTTTCAGAACTCTTACAACTGAGAAGGTGAGGTCTGTGATGAGAAAGACAAGGGAGAAGAAGCGGTGGACCGGGCAGGACCGGGAAACCACGTGGCTGCGGGCACTGAGGAAAGGGCACCTGTGTGGAGGGCTGGAAGGCCTTAAGGACAAGGAGAGCTTGACCTTCAGTGGGAAACTTGTGTTTCCAGTCTGGAGCCACATGGACACGAAGTTGGCTCAAGGATTGGTCTTGTCTTTCTTCCATTTTTTGGATTGGAACATTTTCAGGAGATTCAGACAAATATTAATGCCAATTTGTCATATAATAGGGGTTCATCCTATGTTGAGGACAGCTTTTAAAAGTTCAGAGGACTAATTAGATGAAGGCAAACTAGACAAAGGCTAATTATGTGAAGAAAGTTTTCTCTTCAAGAAAGTTCCAGAGTAATTCTCTGGAATGCAGACTGAAATAGAAAACGACACAATAATGCCTAAATCCAGACCATGATGCTTCAGGAGAAACAATGTGTGGTGAAATGTATGTGTTCATGTACATTGGAGTATTTGATTGCTGCATTTAACTGACCACATGGTGGATGTGTGTGTGTGTGTGTGTGTGTGTGTAGATAGTTAGATATAGACATAAGTGTAGATATGGAGAGAGAGAGAGACCTGAGTACACATTTATAACCCACCTTGTCCTATTAGTAAAGCATCAGAGCTCTCAGATTCTGTGACTTCCCTGAAATTTCCCTGCCTCACATATGTACAATTTCTTCTTGATTCTTCAGTGGAATCCAAACGTGGTTTCTCACCGGCAGGAATACTTACTCTGACCTTTTTGAAAGCCTCATGTCAGGCTCCACACTGTGCTCACAACAAAGACTAATATCTATTGACTGACCATCCAAACTGTTCCATAAGACTACAATTGATAGAATTTTCTTCTTACTTCCTGAGAGTAATTGGCCTTTTGGCTGAATTTGAACCCCTTCCTCTGCCTTCATGCTGTGTTCCTTGGTGTTTTCCTTTCTGAGATGATGTCACTCAAACATCACTTAGTCTCTTATCCTTCACGTGATGCATCTCACTAATGATATTTTAGTAAACTCTTCAACATGCTACTCATGCCCTTTATTTTTATTCCTTATCAGCAGCTAGTATAAGGTTAAGCATGCACAGGAGATCTGTGTAGCATGAACATTACAAATGTCTATTGCATTGGGTGTAGACTTTTCTGGAAGACTACTCTGAGACAGGCACAGCAAGGGGCAGGGCCACATCACCCTGCAGAGGTCTGCCACTGTCTCACCTGGGTGTGATATCGGCTCAGGTTTTTCCTATGGGTCTAGTTATAAGGGAGTGGCCAGGATATTCATCCCATGGCTCACCCTGAAATCCAGCTCCAGATTCCTAGGATGACATTGTGAAGACATCGCCTGGTCCATGCCTCTGTCTTGAGGTGGGACAGCACTTGGTGATGAACTTAAGTGGTAACCAGCCGTATGGTTGTAGCATCACCAGGACTGACCTTTGGCATGGATATTAGCTGTTGATGGCCTTGGAACCACTCAGTTAACATTTTGCTAGCCAAGGCTCTCTGAGGTTGCCTGCTGCTCTGAGGGGTCCATTTCTTACAACATTGCCCTTGAATCTTTGTAGGTCGATGCAGGGTGTGCTGCTGAGAAATTTTTAAAGTTGATTGATTAAATGATGATTGATTTGAAATGGGGGAAGAGAGAGAGAAACAGAGGGAGAGAATCAGAGAGAAAGAGATCATCTATCCACTGGTTCACTCACACACAAAAAAGCCCACAACAGGCAGAGCTAGGCCAAGGTGAAGGCAGGAGTCACGTCTCCTATGTGGGTAGCAGACACCCAACTACTCGGGCCATCATCTGTTGCCACTCAGGCACAGTAGCAGGAAGCTGGATTAGAACCAGAGCAGTCAAGACTCAAACTGGCATTCCTGTAAGAGATGCAGGTGTCCAAAGAGGTGACTTAGCTCACTGAGCCACCAAGTCTGCCCCAACTTCTGATATTTTAGAGGAAGAAAATCACACTGAATTATTAATTTTCCTCTGTGTCTCCCCATTCTCCTTCCAAGCCATCAGTTAGAGTGTTAATGAATGTAGATTTTTACCTTCCTGAAAATCTCCTTTAAATTATAAATGAATACGCTAAAAGTAACAGGAAATACCGGAGATTATATAGTACCTATTAAGAAAGAGCAAAACTCATAATCAATAAACATTTGAACAATCAAATTACATAGAAGTGAAATCCAGATGGCAAAAAGGGCCACGTCAGATAAATTCACATTTTATCACATAGAGAAAACTGTAACAGCATATCCAGTAATGAATTATTTTCCCTAATACACAAATTCAAAAAAAATACACATAAAAGAAAGAATGGACAAAAAAAAAAAAAACAACAACACAGAATGCTACCCCTCCAGCCTCATATACAGACATGCATATTGTGTTAGTCAGTGTTCTTCAAAGAAATCTAACAAATTGGAAGTACACAAAAACAGAGATTTTTATTAAGGAATTGTCTCACATAATGGTAGTTTGGCAACTCCAAAGTCTACAGAACATGCTGAATCCCAGGGAAGAGTTCAGAGTACTGTCATGCATTGGAAGGTTGCAGGGAGGCAGATTTCTTGTTCCTGAAAGCACCTTAGTCTTTTAAGGCCTTTAAACTGATTTGATGAGGCCCACACGTGTTATGGAGGACAGATTGCCTCATTCAAAATCTAGATTTCAACATTAATCACATTAGAAAGTCTTTACAGCAAACTGCTGTTTGACTAAAAAAATCAGTAACAAATACTTTTATGTTTTTATGCAAATTAACCATCACAGTCCAATCCTTGCACTGGGTAATCATACACCACTCCTTAAACCATGTTAATCTCCAGTAAAGACAACAACAAAGTCACATGTGCAGCTAACACAACACTGCTGGTGAACAGCCTAACCTTGAACTAACCATTTCTCCAGAGGGGATGCAAAGCCCTTGGATAATGTTAACTCTTCTCCTGTGCAGCCTTAATTAGTGTGATGTGAAGTTAACAATATTCAAATACAATGATATAAAGTCAACATTGTTATATGTAACAGATTAAGAAAGGAAACAAAACATACTTGAGGCATACATAAAAGCATACCCATAAAAAATAAGAAAAATATTACCAAAAACA